TTGGTGCTATTTTGGGCTTATGGGCCTTCGCCCTTCACATAACATTCTAGTCCATTTATTTTGGGCTTTGCCGTTTTTGTTTTTTTTGTTTTTTTTTTACCTTCTGATGGGGTTTATACAGATGTCTCCGAAAGATAAGAAAAATAAATCACATCATACAAAAAACAAGAAAAAGTAAATCACATCATTTTGGTGGGGTGTTTTATTCCTTGCTTTTGCTTTCTCTTTTGCTTTATCTTTTGCTTTCGCTTTCTTGGAGGATTGCTCTTTTTAGGAATAACGGTGCTCGATGTCTTGTCAATCCAACATCCCAAGGCACTAACACAAGGAGATGCTAGGACCTTGTAGTGGGATGGTAACAGCTTGGCATCATTAGATGTCTGAATTCCTTTATCATTGTGGTCGCGGGACCACTTTCCAACTGTGTGTTTAAAGAACTTGCTTTACCTTTACTGCTTTTCCAGTCAGATATCATCTTTTGCTGAGCAAGCATAAGTTGTTGGTGTTGACCCGTAACTTCCCGGACCGAAAAATTGCAAACTTGGAGACCTCCGAGTATCGAAACCTAATCCCGTTTTCTTCTAACAAGTTTTCCAGAACCTGCTTATCCCTGTCAGGGTTGGAGCTCTTGCACTTGAGCTCATAACACGTGGAGGAAGTGGACGTGGCGGTGGCGTATTTTCCTCCACAAAATCAAGAGCATGCACTCAAATTCGCCAAATGCTTACAGCCTTTCGAGAATCTCCCCCATTGGCGCTGAAAACACATCGGAGCCGCATTTCACCTTCTTTTCCATCACACAACTCCAATCTTTATCTTCTCTCCGGGTCCTCTAGCAACTCAGAACAACATTGGTCGAACTTCAAAACATCAACACCCCCGTATTCCCCATAAATCCACGCCTTCATCTCCGACGGTAGAACCATGACCTTTGATGCCTCAGCTGAAGCAGGGGCAGACTGGGAACTAGTAGACACTCTCAGAGCAGGAAAACCAGTTGAAAGCTTGGATTTTTGGGTGGTCGAGCTTTTGGGTACTGCGATTCTGTTAGTTTCCTGAAAAGTGAAGGAAAATCTGGGAGAAATTTGGTTTGGGGATGTGAGTTGAGAAGTACTGGAGGTGAGAGCGACGGTGGTGGTTACCATGGTTGTTTCCGAGATGATGCCCGAGTTGGCTCAGACTGATTTGTGCATCAACACGATTCTTGATGACGATGTCGTTCATCTGGAAGGACTTGAGGTTGGCAAAATTCTTGGGGAACGAGATGAGATGGACTGAGTTCTCGGAGCGGTGGAACTAGAGGAGGTCAGGCCGACACGAGTTGGGATAACGAGTCCAGCCCAGTTCAGTAAGTCGCTGCTCAAGTTCGGGGTATGAGAGGATGACTTGGTTGGTTGGGAGGTAGACCAAGACTCGAGGTCGAGCACCAGGTGCGATGGCTGTGCTCGGATTCAGTGGCTCTTTTTGCTCAAACGACTCCTGAGTTGGGTTCGTGATCAGCCGAACGACGCCGTGTTCGTCAAATATCCACACTTCGGACATTGTTGTGTGTAACGGGATTGGTGAAGATATTGAAGGCAATGTGAGACGGAGAGTAGAAGAGGAAGTATGGTTGTATTTCCATCGATGCCATCTTGACCGGGAGCTGAAGTGGAAGACATGGGTTTTGCAGTGACTGTGCAGGTGTTTGGTTCTTGGGTTTCTGCAAATTCACGGTGGATATTGTGGTGAGGTCTCACGGTGGTGAGATGAAAAAAATGAAAGAGAACCGACATAGCTTTTCTTGTCGTTTCCCACAGACGGCGCCAAATGTTGATGCACAAAACCGGAGGTTTTGGAACAAACTAAATCCAACCGTGAATCTGCAAGATAAGTAAATAACACAAAATATATCGTGGTTCACCCCAATGTTTGGGTTACGTCTACACTGATTATTGTATTTCTCTGTTTGTGAGGGGATTGAGAGGGGAAGAGCTTTGCTCTGAATATGAGAGGGGAGGTGAAGCTTATGGCCTAGGAATTGGCCTCTCCTAATGAGGAGAGTGATGGGTCTTTTTATAGAATAAGGACTCCTCACTTATTACATATTTGTCCCTTCCTTTATTACATAATTACATTTGAGTCCCCCGAGTATTTATATGAGGTCTAAATACGGAGGCCCTAAATATGGTAAAAACAAGAGTTGTAATCCTAAAAGGGTGAGGATTCTACATATCCTTCTACTATAAATAAAGGCACAATTGGGTGATACAACACACACCTCACAATTAAATCTCTCTATTTTCTCTCCTATTGCCGCTGGCCTCCCCCTCTCTATTCCTCCAGAATAGTTTACTTAAATAGGCCTACAACATAAAAAAAAAACATTAAGATAATAAAAATAATGACATGTTTGCATCCTTAGGCATGTTGTTTTTTGTTTCCTGAATTTATGAGGATACGATTGGAATAGTAATGAAAAGATAAAAGGGGAATAAGATCAACATATTTGCAAGGCCGGCCCTAAGGGTAGCCCAAGTAAGCGCCCGCCTAGGGCTCCCACTTCGGAAGGGCCCCCAAATTTTTTTTTATATCTTGTAATTAACATATAAATACAAAAAAAAAAGAGTAAGAAATATCATAATTCATTTGTTAGTGCAATGGAAATGTTGGCTTCATTTTTCTTTGGGGTGTTGAGTTTGAAACACGAAGTTGCCTTTCAGTCACTAGATTTTTCTTAATTTTTCTTGTTTTTCAAATTTACTGCCATTCTGTCACATCCTGGCCCGGGGTGGATCACTTCCCGGGCCTGCTCCACCACCGTAGCACGATATTGTCCGCTTTGGGCCTCGACCACGCCCTCACGGTTTTGTTTCTGGGAACTCACGAGCAACTTCCCAGTGGGTCACAAAAACTTTGTTTTACTGACCCACTCAATTTTGTTTTGCGCCTCTCCAGGTTCTAGATAGCAGAGCTTTGGCGGCTACGAGGAATCCAACGGTGTTCTGACAGAATGCACAAAAGTAGGACTCACCCTCAGGTGTTTCATCTTAGTAATTGTATTTTTCAAAGCTTCCGAACTATGTAAATGGTTACGTCACTCTCACGTGACGACCATCATGCCCTCCTTCGGGACGGGGTGTGTCACATTCCATCTGTCCAACTCTCAATCCATCTGTCTAAATGCATATAAAGTTATAAAACTCAAGTCTCTTTGCAATTTTTTTTCTTTCAACTTCTCATTCTCTCAATTTCTATCAAATGTTTAAACCAACTTCCTATTCTCTCAATTTCTATTGAATGTTTAAACCAACTATCATATGATCTTAAAGATTGTACTTTAAGGTAATCAAAACTTTGAATTTTATATTTTTCTTTTCATTAACTTTTTATTCAATGTATTATGTTAATATTCAATTCGTTAGTGTGATGTTGATTTTAGAAGAAAAAAAAAAACACAAGAAAAACAATTGGCGTTGAATTTATTATACTCGTCAATCAAGTTTTATTGTTATTTACTCTCATGATCATCAAGTTTTATTGTTCTTCACTCTCAATTTTAAGCTCTTGACTGCAAACATTTAGTATATTTGTGTCTAAAAACGTGAATCGTGTAATGTTTAAATAATATTTGTATATTTATCTTATTTTGATATTAATTTTTAATGATATTTGATGTGAAAATAAAACTTTTTATGTATTTAGCAAATTCTTTTTTATATAAATCAATATACAAAGGATCGGAGATCAAATAATTTTAGGATCCCATTTCGAATGCTCGCCTAGGGCCCCCAAATTCTCAGGGTCGGCCCTGCATATTTGTGGGTATATTCTAACTGCTCTTTTTTTTTTTTTTTTTTTTTTTTGTGTAAATCATTTTTAATTCGAGATCTTCACAAAAAAAATAAAATAAAAATAAAGACATTAGAAGGATAGGATTTTGGCGAATCCAATTTTGATGATGACTTGTTGCCAGACAATCATGTATGATATTGTTATACAGTGAATATGATCGCACAGGTAAACATGTCTACACGCACATAATCAACAATTGAGTTATTGACAACATAAAACACCAAACTGTCCTAAAATAATAATTTAAATCCAACATTCTTTTTTTACATTTTTAAAGCGTGCATTGTATAAAGCTTGAAAACATGCATCTTGTTTATAATTAATTTTGTGACCTTTCCTCTTTATAGAAAAATGATAAATTCTTATAGAGAAAGAACCATGTTTGTCAAAACCATTACTAGTTCTTAGAAATTTAGTTGCAAAACTGGTGACATTTACCAGACAATTGTGTGAGTTATTAGACGGTGACTATGACTGCACCATTATATATTATACATATAAATCACAATTATATGGGGTGACTATACATTCCAAGTTCAAAGAACTTTTCTTGACAAAAGACTTAATTACAACAAGAGGCAACACTCCATCAGCATAATCGTTCTACGAAACTCCGCAGATACAATCAGTAATAGTTGAACTCTTGAGACCACCATCACCACATTATATATATGAAGTTGAAAAACTCATTGAATTCTAGGCTTGTTAAATAACTTCACGTATGTATTCCACTAGCTAGGTTGGACCAAGTTTTCTTATTTTGGTAAATGTTGTAGTACCATTTGCCAACCCAATTATAGTAATGCATGCGCAGCTGCACAACATATCACGTTACAACTACAATATTACGTCCGTTTATTAAATTAGGGATTAGTTTACTGCGACGCTAAATATCCATTAGCGAAAGAGACCCACTATTAACCTGAAACTTGTTGAGCTGGGATTTTTCTTAAATTAAAATAAAAAAATATTTATGTGAATTCATGGCAATGTTTAACTGAATGGGCCCCGCTCTCCAATTATACTTCCACGTGTCGCACACAAGCTGTGGGCCCAACAAAGTCTCTGTTGCATGGATCTCTGATTTTTTTAATTTTTTGATCGAGAATCTCCCATTCAGCCACGTCACATCACACCATACCTATAACTATACTCTAAGGCACACATTAGAGAAAAGAATAATAACACTGCTGTTAAATTACGAAACCACCCTTGCATTTTTTAACATGGACTCACACTGTCTGTTCGGTACACCGGACAAACACTCTAACACAACCCCCCCTCACTTCTGTCACGTTCCGGAGAGGCACACTATCCTCACCCGCGAGAAAACACAAACAGTCTGTGAAACGAAATTACCTCCTAAAACTTCTTAACCCTAACACCCTTCTCCTCCTAAAAATTCCTTGAGCTGCCTCACATCAGGGGACTTGAGCGATCTCTCCTTCACCGGCTTCCTCATCCGCTTCCTGCTGCTAACGCCGCTGCCATCGAGCTCATCGTCGTCATCCTCGTCATCCTCGTCGTTATAATCGAATTCCCCATTTGCAATTGGAGACGAGGGTGACCGATGAGCGCTCTCATGAGGATGAGGAGGAAAGCTAGTCGTAGTAGCAATTTCACCCTCGGCCTTGGTCTCTTCCTTTTCTTTGTCGCCGCCTCTCTTCCGACTCCGCCACGGGCCAAATCCCGAATAGTAATAGAACTCGTAGGGGTTAGGGGCGGATTCCTTCTTCACCTTCTTCCGGCCGCCGCCGCCTCCATTTTTCAGCTGTACCGCTCCGCTCACCGCGGCGGCAGCCTTCTTCGAAGATATGTTATGATTATTTCCATTATCCCTACAGTATCCATTGCCGTTGGCCTTAACAATGCAGTTCGATCGAAGTAGGGACAGGTGATGGTTGCAGAAGGACTCCCCTTGCTTGGCTTTTTTCTTACAATGCCACCCACGGCCGTCATTCTGTTGGCAGCACATGCTCCCCGTCCTCTCGTCGCCCGCCTTCCAATTGTTCTCAATGTCGATACCCTCGGCCACGGGCCCTTCATTCTTTTCCAAGGGTTTCTCGTCCGCGCCATCCCTCAACGACGCAACGCTGCGTTTCGTAACATCGTAACACAGCAACATTTCAAGGAGGGCCGCGAGAATTTAAAAATAATGATATTAACAGGGGGAGATAACAAAGAAAAAAAAAAAGAAAAAAAAAAGAAAAAACGAAAGGAAACAGAAAAACCCTAATGCTTGAAATAATAATAATATCGAACGAAATCGGAGAAAAACGAATCGAATCGATGAGAAGGAGAGTAAAGCGTAGCTTACCTCTCGACAGCTCCGATTGAATCACCGAAGCTCCCACCGTACAAGCTCTCTTCGACCTCCCACTACACACAAACAGCAACCCGAAACAACCAAATTAAACCCACCAAAAAACCGCATTTCCCCTCGAAATATCATAAAAGGAAGGAAACCCATTTCCCTAATCGAGCAATAGAAGCTAAATACACGAAGAAAACAGGAAATTTTAGGGTTTATGACGAACCCTAATGTTAGGGGAAAAACCCAGAAAACCCACACAATAATGAGAACCCTAGCTTCAGAAATGCAGGTAGAGAAACAGAAATTAATTCCCATGAGCTCAAGGGCTCAAGAGGGTCCACGCAGATCTGCCCAGAAATTTTGAAAAATGAAAATGGATAAATTATCGAGCTCGAATACACCCAGATTTCACTGACCTGGTCCGACTCCGGTCCGAAAGGAATAATATCCCAGGGATTCCGGTTGATCTGGCACACATGCGGCAGAAGCTCCTCGGCATCTGGAGCGTGCGAGGTGAACAGAAGGGGAGAGACCTTGGCGTTCTTCCTGATCCGCATTTCTTCCTCGACAGAAAAAATATAAAAGCTCAGATAAATTAAACAAAGATCGTATCTGGGAGGGAAAGATAGATGGAGAGAAACTCAGAAGGGAGTGTTTGGCTGCCGGGAAATTTTTTTCTCTCACTTTCTCGAGGGTTTTCTCGAACTGTGGAGGCTATCGGGGGTGAGAGGGGTTTTCTTTGTTTGCGCAGATCTCACAGTACTCGATATAATCAGGGTTTTGTTATTAACTTTTCTGTTGCCGTCTCGGCCCCTCGTATTTTATATATTTTCGAATTATTATCCAGTTTTACCATTGTACCCCTATGTTGCCATGCTATTTACGGGGGCGAGAGGTGGGTACTGGGTTGGTACTGCGCCTGAAAGGAAAGACAGCCGCTATTACACGTCACGATTGTTTGTCCTAACAGAATATTTAAAAAAAACGACGAAGATAATGAAAAAACTGTCTCCTCTGCAGACGCCCTCACAGTAAATTAAAGTGGGTCAGAAGTAATTAGAAAGTCAAGGGTTGTATGGTCATTCAATTACACGTTACTTTTTCTCTTCTTATATGCTTTTGTTTACAATTGATTTATTTGATAGAATGATGAAAAATAAATTAAGGTGCGCGAAAGTTAAAAATCAAGGTCATCGTTTTCCCTCGCTAAATGTTCCATTATCATTGTTTTTCTTTTATTGATTGCATTAGCATTATTGATCGTTATCTAGAATTGATATTCAATCTGTTAAAAAAAAACAGAGAATTTATATTTGATAAGCGTATTTTAGTAATATGGTACTTTTTTTTTTTTAAACAAACTTATTTATACTGGGTAAAGGATGTGTTTAGCTTTGCAATGGACTAAAGTATCCTAGCTCTGCAATGGACTAAAGTATCCTTCTAGAGTATACCCAAAATTGATATTCAATAAGGGTATTTTGGTAATATGGTACTATTTAAAAAACAATTTTTTTTATCGGTTAAAGGAAAACACCTAACGTCTTTTCTCGTAGGAGGACTGTGGGGGAGGTGGCGCGCCGGTCTCCCTCGGTGAAATATTGGCGAGCCGCGGTCGGGTAGAGCAAGTGGCGAGCACGATTGGCCTACGGCCACATGATAAGTGTTGGATGAGCGTACGTGTGCGTTGGGTGTTTGTGATTGAGTCAACCGAACGAAGGGCCCAGACGAAATCAAATTATAAGACTGATGAGGTGGCGCGGAATCGGATACCAGGATTGGGTTGTCCTACGTGTCGATGTGTGGTGATAGGCGTTTTAATTTGATGTTTTAGGGTTTTTATTTATTATTTTTTTAAAGTTTTTATTTAACTGTAGTTTCAAGTATGGTGAAAACACCTATTCGATTGGTAGGTATTATGACTGTCCAGAAGTGGGCAGAGAGGGGCAAAAGTGTAAAACTGTATGGGGTAGGCGCATTGGCATCCAAATGGTCAAACCCGTGATATTTGATCTCCCCTTTTTGAACAAACCCATGATATTTGTAATTCTGCAAACCCTATTATTTGAAAATGTCTTACTCAACCTTTTTAGCCAAAACAGATTTATATAATTCACCATTTTGATATTTAAAATTATTAAAAGTGATCATTGAATTTATCATTCATCAATTATTTTGATCATTTCTTAAAAAAAAAAATGTTAAATAAGGATCAAATAACAAAAATATCTTTAATTTAATAAACAATGGACCAAAATGATTTGACAAAAATTGAAGACATTTTTGTCATTTTATCCTTATTTAATGAAGATTTTTCAAGGAATGACCAAAATGATTGATGGTTGACAAATGAGAAGTTATATAAATCTCAGAGATCGTTTTGGCTAAATAACCCTGAACTTATTATATTTATTCATGTTTTAATTTGGCCTTTCAATTTAGCTTTGTAGTTCTATGGTTCTCCAAATGTGTTATATGTCCTATTTTCATGATATTTTAGACTATTTAACACTTATATAGATTGTTTTTATCTTTAAAAGTCATAATCGAATTGATGTGAGAATGATGACAGGACTAAGGTGATGTGCGTCTTGGGGAAATAGGACTATAGAACTTAAAATCTAATTAACGGACCAAATGAAACACATGTATAAGTTTGAGGATTGCTGACATTATAAAAGAATTGCCATCGATCATTTGTGCATATTAGCAGTTGTTAATTAGTTAATTAGTATATTTACTATAGCTCGCATTTATCACTCACCTTTTTATATAGAAAAAAATATGGCTAATACTTGAGTATTCATTAGTGAGTACTTAAGTTGCTCATCATCCTATTTGAACCACTAAACATAAAACACTTGTCAAATGCAATCCTCCTCCACACTCCTACTATCTTTCTAACCAAACACATAATTTCTACTGTTTTACTAGTATTCAAACATCTATCTTTTCTATTACCAAGAACATAGTTACCATACCTCCACCAGCTACCTCCCTCTCCTTTCTCCTAAAGCCATGGCAGCTCCACCCCTTCAAATTTCATCGAACCCATGACATATTAGATTCATCTTCCTAACCTTATGAAGGAAATTTCACCCAGTTGTATAGTGTGTAGTGTTTTTATAGAAAACATCACACGACCAACGGTAGAATTCTGTGTTGTAGATGACGAAAGTCTAGTGGTCAAAAGAATCACTAGTTTATCTAGCTGTGAGTTCAAATACTCTTTGGGATATTCAAGTTATTCAAATACTCGATCGCCGTGATATTCAAGTTAGCCTGTGTTGTATCTAGTAACGCTTTTATCTAGTTTTGTTGTAGATTAATAAGATGTTTCGCTAACCAATGTGAAAAGGGAAATAAAATTTATGGGAATGAGAGAATTCGTATACGAAAAAAATGATAGAAATGATAAGGTTTAAAGGTTTGGAAGAAGCCCAATCCATTAGCAATTTTAGACTGGGCCACAACCCAACAAATCAAATCTAAATTGGGCTACAACAAATCAAACTGAATTATTGTCTAACCGATAGATTCCATATCGATTGATAATATTAAAAAAAAAGGTATATAACCATCTATTCTCCTCAATAATATGACTATGTTTTTAAGTCCAATAATAATACTAAAAGCATACAAAACTTCCTCAAAGTTACAACATAATGTGGCAAAGGACATAAAAAATAATCGTAAAAAGAGATTGTTATTGACACTTCTTAAAAATCATATCATACTTTGCAATTGAAGTCCAAATTTTCAATGGATTTGTATATTAACTAACCTTCATGCATGCGCCCACGCGTGTGCATAAGACATTTTTTGATAAAAGGAAAGTCAAATATTTGAAGTAAATGAATAATCTTAGATCATGCTACAAGAAACCCCTCATAAACCAATTAAAACAACTGAATCCACATAATAAAATCGGTCTCTATTGAATTTATATTAAGAATAGAAAAAAATAATATTTAATAAACAATTGATTGAATCACATTATTACTAGCCCATTGTGAGGCTAAGTCCACCCACCTTTCCCTTAGTGAAGATAATATGGTTTGTTAAAAAAAAAAAACAATCATTTGACAACTAATTTAATCATATTATTATTTGTGAGAGGAGGGGATGGAAAAAGGGGGAGAGAATCCTCTTTTATTTGAATGGTCACAGTTAAGCCACGTCAACATCTTATATTAATTTTTTCTAGAAGGAAAAAAAAAAATAGAATGCAAGAGGAGGGGATGGAAAAAGAGAGAGAGAATCCTTGTCCGCTGATTTCAATGGCTCCTCCTGACCTCATGCGGCACTAGATTCTCGAGTGGAAGCATGCAATTTCATTTGTACTATATATTTTGGGGAGACTTTGGATGCGGTCCCTAGTTATGAATAATCTTTGACTGAAACTTTGTTGGTTTTCAGTTTTTGATCCAAGTCCCTAAAATTAATTGATAATTTATTTCTATATACGTTACTATATTTTTTAAATTAAAAATTAAAATTTATAGTTGTTTATAGTAATGAGATTTTAAATAAAAAACATAATTTGTGGGATTAAAAATATTAAAATATAAATATACTATTGTGTGTGTGTGTGTAAACATGGGTACATTCATAAAAAATAACCAAAAAATTATTGTATCAAAACATGGGTACATTCTTCAAAATGGGTACATTTAGCAAAAATAAAAATGGGTACAAATAAATAAAAAAATATGGGTACAATACAAATAAAACTTTAAAAAATATGGGCACAAAAAGAAATTAATATATGGGTACAAATTAAAATTGAAAGGAAAATTGGTACAAATTAAAAAAGGGTTGCAAATTAAAAATGGGTACAAACTAAAAATAAAAATATATGATAAAAAATTTAGCCATAAATATAAATATACTAATTGTAACATTTTTAATATTAAATGAATATATTTAGAAATAAAAAATATTTTATTATTGAAATAATTAATGATATTATTAATACAAAGGATCTTGATCAAAAATTGAAAAGTAATAAGGTTTTAATCAATAGAGTAGTAAAAATAAGGATGAAAACCTAATTACTCCTATATTTTGCTTATAAACTTGGGTTTTATGGTCAAATTACCTTAAAATGAAAAGCCATGCATTCCATAAAAAAAACGTTAGACGCTAGTCGGACTGTAGTATGGGGCCTAGCACTTAGCGTCTAGAAGGACTAGACGGATTTAAGTAAATATATTACATTTCATGTAAATAGGTGTTTGTTTAGACTTAAAATATATATAATTTCATCATAAACTATAAAATAGAATGACATATATATTATGAAGCATTGGAACATAATGAAAACATGAGGAGCAAACATATAATGTGTGTTTATTTAAGTGTTCAAAAAGTCTCTTACAATTTATTGGAAATAATAAAATGCAAAAGGATAGTTATCTATTTTCTATCTATATGAGTCACAACCTCGGCAAATGTCTAGGCGAGTTTGGGCGGGTGCCTAGGCGGTCTAGGTGGGCGCTTCAGCAGGTCTAGCGCCCTTTCTTAATTTTCAAACACCTAGGCATTAATCGGGACGGTGGCAAACAGCTTAGCGCCTAGGCGGCGCTAGGCGGGGATTTTTAGAATAGTGGCCTATACTATATGCCTGTATCTCATCATATTACAACACTCTTAGCACCCTTTGGAACGATATGCTTAGATTTCACCACAAACCATATGCTTGTTCGCCTTTGTGTGTTCATCTCGATTATCGGCTTAATTTTCCTTCTCTGAAACATGTTCGGATCCTGCAAAAATGGCGATGTAAAAGCA